ATTATCTCAATAGCAAGTGGCTTCCAGGCTAAAATTTTCACTAATCATATTTTCATAATTATAATTGAGTCATATTATCCTCAAATACTTCAATTATTCGGACTTTCAAAAATCGGGGCGTTTTCATCCAAKTGCCCCTAGATAAAAAGACTCAACATGCATCTCAGTTTGGAATTGAATGGATCAGAGGATCGTATAAAAGCATAAGACTCTATACCAATAACTGGCAGTTAGACAGTGGGAGTATATTACCTAATAAATACGGTACTGAATTAGCGACTAGTAGCATTGTGAACAAAACCTTGAGACGACTGGAATAGGTTCAAAGGCGTGACGCCATCAGTGATGAGAACATTTTCCACGCCCAAGCCGTGCAGCAGACTGATCTGTTAAATACAAGTGAAAAACATCCAGAATAAGGAACCGAATCAGGGAATTTGGCATTATGGTGGGGATTTTGTGAATTGTAAGTACAAAATGTAGGACTCCTTCCCAACCCGTTTTGTTTTTTGTTTTTTGTTTTTTTTTTACGTGGTCCCCTAGTAAAAGAGGGTAATTATTATAGGATCAATATTCATGTTTTTTTCTCTCTCTTAGGTTTCATTCTCTTAACAAGCGCGGGCACAGCCAGGCCCTTTCTCGCAGATATAGAAAATCATATAAGTACTTTGCTTTATTTATCGTTCTTTTGTTACCTGAGATTTTGGATCAGACTCTGCTATGTTCGTTATTGTCTTTGGTCCGATAGATTTCACCATAGCTGAGAACTTTTCCACCTAAAAAAAATTCAAGATATAAATATATATATAACATTTTTGATATCCAGMCATTGGTTTGATCGGGGACACGGTTCTAGTCTTTGGGGCTCCTGCTACTTCCTAGGGTATAGGCCGGAAAAGAACCATTTTCATTTTCAGTTTCTACGGTTAAATTCCGGATGTCCACAGGTAGCCCACTCATAGTAAAACAATGCTGTGAGTATACAAGATGAGAAGCGAAGGTGTAGTTATAGCTTAATACATCTTATTGTAGTATAGATGGTTTATGAGATRCATAATAGACCTTAACTGAACTGAGCTAAAATGTTAGATTTTAAAAACTASTTAGCCCATATTATTTATGTACCTGGATCGATGCAAGCTTTTTYGCCTTTTCCACTTTTAGTTGGTTTTGTTGTCTGATAAAATCGAGTTCACCTTCCCGTTTCTAAAAGTCAAAATAAGTGTCAAACACACGGATTAAAAAATAACTGATTTTACGTTAATTTAGTTGTTGTGTTGTTGTTGTGTTGTTGTTGTGGTGGTGGTGGTGGTAAGATGGTTGTGGTGGTGGTTGTTATAGCTGTCGTTGTTGTTGCTGCTGCTTATGTTTGTTGTTGTTGATCTTGATGTGTGCTGTTGTTGTTTCGTTCTGCCAATTAATGCTACTTACAACTCGATCAGCATGTAGCTCGGCAGTTAGTTTGATCTCGTTAGCCTCCGCTCGCAGCTTTGCAACTGAAACAAGAGACGTKGTAAAAAATATATACGAGATATAAAAAATAAAAAACACATTGAAAAAAAGGAAGTTCACAAATGATTGTATCTTACGTTCAATGGCACTCTCTCCCTCGATCAACGACTTCTCTGCCTTAGCCTAAAAAACAATACGTCAAGACATAGTTAGTAACTATGGTCAAAAGTTAMATGAAAACAGCACTGACTGGACAACATAACTTGAATGTATAGAGGCGCAATCACACGGAGCAATTTGTCGGCGTTGCGAAAAAAGTTGCATGGGGCATAGCAGCGTGTAACCTACAGCACAATTTGTAAAAATGTTGCGAGATTAGCCTCCTCCGCAGACATCTCCTTGGGTATTTTTGCTCCTTGGGCTTCCTGTGGCGAGGTACAGGAATCCCAGGGATCCGTCGTTTCTACTTTTGGCAACGATTGCGTCTCCATTGCACCGTGTAGACACTCTTGCAACTTGTGTCGCGACGCTTTTGCGAGACAAGTTACATAGAAAATTGCTCCGCGTAATCGAGCCTTTAAGAATATATAATTCATCAGGGGCCGGTTGTACGAAGCCTGGATAGCGCTATCCGGCGGATAAATATTATTCAATGGATAAATTTATTGGATAACAGCATCGACTTATCCACTGGATAAGGATTTATCAGCTAGATAGCGCTATCCAGGCTTCGTACAACCGGGCCATGTCCTTTGCATGTGACTACTATAAAAAGGGAAAAACACGTGCGCGCTCGTTTTTTGGTGCTCCATGCGCTTCCAATTGTTATTGCTAAGTTTTTAGTAACACCTACTCGAGCCTCAGCTTTTGTGTGTCCCGATGATTCTACAGCTGCTGTAACAGCTTGGAGTTCGTAAAGCTTCTTACGAGCTTCTTCGGCTTCCTAGGTAAAAAAATATCGATAATAATAAGTATGGGCATGCACGATGAGTGGAAGGCCAACATGTTGATGATGTCATCACCATCATCATGCAGCAATCATCATCACACTACATTCAATCTATTCCGTCAATCACTACCTTCTCATTRATTAACTTCTGTCTTTCTAGCTGTCCTTTAGCAATCTGTTCGGTTCGTTTGGCCTCGTGAGCAGCTGACATTTCGATGGACCTACGACAACGTTAGACAAATACATTAACTCTTTACCACTTTTCCTGTCGCGACTGTTGTCTCAATCAGCGCGTATAACAATAAAAACAGTTACATCCTAGTGGATTATGTTTCTCTTCTTACGTTTTGATACCACTATGATTCTTTACATCATTACTTCTAACGTGTTTATGTAGGTTGGTGTAATAATTTAAATATTCCAAAGTCATATCACAGCTASCTCATGATCGCATATAACAAATACATATTAAGAGTCAGTGTTTACTTTGTAGAGATTTCGATGGCCATCTGCACAGATTTGCTCAAACTCTCTCTCATGTTTGGATCAACTGGTTCAATACTTTGGATATCAACGTTAGTSATCACCTTAAAAAAAACAGAAAATATCAGTCGATATTTTACTGGAAAGATAATAAACGTAAACCATGGTATACAAAGAGTATGGAAATCCCAGTTTATAGAAAAAATACACTACGGAATCTACGAAAAATATGGACCCAGGGACCATGGTCTCTTGGTGGAACTACAGGATGTAGTAATGAAATCTGAATTTTCTGCGCATAAGAGCGCGCTTCGTCGCTTTACTTTAGAGTAAGGAAATAACACTTATGGACATATTACGCGTATGGAGCGCTCACTTAATATTATTCCAATACATATACAGCTACATGTATTTAAAAAAACATTGAATACTGAATACTGCATACTCAATAGTGCATTCCAAGACCAAAAGGTAATTGTAGGTCTCGTTAATTTGAAATAAAAAGTAAATATGCAGCAATTAACTCTCTACATGTAGTTAGTATATTGTGTCAGATGGAATACACTAAAAATATAATAAATAATTATTATTAATTCTACTTTAGACAATGTCACCGTGACCCACAATGCACTTCGCTCTTGGAATGCACTATTCAGGATGCAGTATTCAGTATTCAACCTTTTTTGAAATAACTTTACATTTTTTCAAGAACTACAGTTTATAAAGAAACGCCGTAGAAATACTGAATCATTATCWTAGGGAATAAAACAGTTTTTCTTACTAGGTTATTGGCATCAAAGCTCAGTTTTGTCTTGATGTCTCCTTTCTCGTCTTCGCCGAAAACTGCCTTCTTGATGATCCTGACAGAATATCGATGGAACTCGTCAAAGGGGACTTGAGCTACGCTACCACGAATACGACTCGCTAAGAAAAAAAGAAAAAGAAAAGAAAAAATAAGAAAAATAAAGTGCATATAGCTGAATAGTCCCGTTCACAGTTTCCTGCGCCATCTTGAAAGGTAGCTGCATGCCCTTGCATCGAAGCGAGAYGAACGTTGRGCTTGCAATGATAGAGTGAATAATTGTTCAAGGTGTTAAAAAAGATCTTTATCATTGCAAGCTAACCGTTCGTCTCGCTTCGATGCAAGGGCACGCGGCTACCTTTCAAGATGGCGCAGGAAACTGTGAAGGRAACTGTGAAGGGAACTKTTTGCATTAAACWAATCAATTTCGCATAAGGTATAAGTGAACCGCGTGGATCTAGAACAGAACAGATACATTATCAGGAGGGCTGCTTTTGTTGGAAACGATGCGGGAATTTCGTAGCCGTACCACATGCTACCCTATCAGTARCTACGTGGWTGAATAAGGCTAAGGTCAAACTTYACATGAGCCGAACCTAATGACACCAAAAAAGACCGCCTTATTGTCCGTTGTTTCAATTAGGTTCGGCTCATGTGAAGTTCGACGTTTGACCTGAGCTTTATATACAAACAATAGAAAGCCATTTCAATGTTATGTCATGCCGTACCGTATACGTGCTCTAATTTATTGCCGCATGTTTTTCATGCACTAATATGCAAACCGCTCTAGCAAAGGAAAGCTCTGACATCAGGATTTTCAAGACCCTTAAATTGGACTCTAACTTTCCATTAAAAATTAAAAAAAACAACTTGTATTGCTAATCACCACCGCAAAGTAGAACAGTAGCTTAATGGGGTCGAACTAAAAGCATGTGAAGGCGCCTCTGGCGAATCCTGAGTCTTTGTATTCTCGGAAAGATTTAAATGGATTAACCATTAATGGAACCTAGGGGGTAAACTTGAGCCGTTTTGACCGTAAACTGRAACACAGCGTAMACTTTAGTCTCCTACRCAGCYGYTATTAGTGTCGYCACGCCACGATCACGCCCYTAAAARGCTACTTAGGGTAGTGAGCGTTGCGTGACGACACTGCGGCTGCGTAGGAGACTACGTAAACTTCTCAATCAAAATTAGCGTGTTGTCAACAATCATCCAAACTTACTTACCRACATTCTTGCAAACGAAACCAATGAAGTCCGGAACAGCGAAAATRGCTTGAACAGACTCGGGATCTGTACGGTCGACCTTGGAGGAGAAAATCAATRCTTGTGAGGTAAGAAAAGGCAGTRAAAARTTGCTGTGAAYATTWTGCAAAAATGCAATTTATYATCGGTCACTATCACAGMGGTGATGATTGCTTTATCAGAGCCAGACGCTCACGACTAAAGCATCGACGCTTGATCGAATTGCAATTTAGGTGATTTTTGTAGAGGAAGGAAAAACCGGCGAACCATGAGAAAACGCTCAAAGCGCAGGAAAGATCCTACAATTAGCAATCATTGGATGTGGTCGAGCAAAATATTTGCCTTCGGCATCTTATTTGCAACGAAACTGCTTTGCATCGTAATGCGCATGAGCAGAATATTATTCGTAGGCAGATATTTGCAGTAATACCGGCCAATTAAAACCACAAAAAATATTTGGATGATAATCAACTTTACCCTCATATGATGACGGGTATATCTGGATGAAACCCAGCGCCAAGCGGCGAGAGTCCGTGCATTTACAACTCACATCATCCTAATCTTTTCCTTTTAAGACCCCCCCCCCCCCCCCAATACTTACATCGAAATAGTTATTTATAGCGATCTTTATCATCAGGCGCGCATGATCCGATGTCTCCACCTATATATGAGTAAAAAACAAATAGACTGAGCACCATGAACATTCATTCATTTAGGTCAGACTACAATAAAATGGACTATAAGTAGACTTCTTTACCATRRGTGTCCTGTTTTTTTCCATTTCAGACCACGTGTCATTCTCTAGAGTATGATTTYTTTGTTCGCACGAGAAGACACATGAATATCGAGACAACTTAAACAAAGAATCTTATTCTCTAGAGATTGTCGACACGTGGTCTGAAACGGRAAAACMTTACGCCCAAGGTAAAGGAGGTCTGCTGAAGTCAGTTGTTGAAAGGTCTGAAAAAATTGACCAACCTCGAATACGTCTGTGATGAAGTCTGGTCCAAGCAGCAAACAGATGGTCTGTAAGGCRTTGGGTTTCTTTGGCTTACCAGCTGAAACATTGAAAAAATACTTAGAAGCGCTCATTAGAGGGGAACGAAACAATAAAATGATTTTTAAATCGTTATTTAGAAAACATCAGCTCTCAAGGGGGCACTTAGTACTTAATCGTGATCTAAGTGATCCGACTTTCTTGGGATATATGACGTCATAGCCGCCATTTTGGATTGACAAAAGATTGTGGTCTTGTTGTCYTGGTGTAATGTCAACCAACATGGCGGCAACCTTTTTTGTCCTTTTATTTTCATGGGATAGGATGCATGCCACCAATCGTAGGAATAAATTCTTGCKCAATTCAAATGTAAATTCAATGTAAAGCATACCCAGAACCTGGGTGGGGCAGGTCATACCCYTCTCCGGTTTGTCCCAATCGCGCGTAGTGGAGTCTTAATGCCCCTAGTGGCATATTTTCAGTGCGTCTAGTAGCGTAAATCCCCAACTCGACCGAATCAAGTCTGGATGAAAAAAGGCAAGATAACAGATCATAGGATTGTCTATAATAAAACGATAAACTCTCACCACTCAAGCTGAGGACGTTGAAATTTTCATGGGGGCCAAGAATAACCTGAAAAAGAAGAGATAAAGGTTTCATGTTTAGTATAAAAACAAAACATGAAGTATAGTTACCGCTTGCTGAATGTATTCTTACCAAGTCAGGTCCAAAGATTACTCTTGCAGTTGCTTTTTTGTGATCATTCACCTGGAGAATAAGGAAGAAACAATATTAGAACAATGARTGAACAGCATCCATATAGAAACTTCTTGGATGGGATCAGTGTCTTTTTCGCCATCTTAGTAGTATCGATATTTGTCATATCCGGCCTTGGATGGTTTTAGAAGACTGAAGTAAGGCCAGAGAAACGTCTTGACTAYTTCCATCCAAAACTGGGAGAGCGTCCTGCAGACTTATCAACGAGTGCCTATTTCCAGAAACTGGGAGTGCCACACTCCTCCGGGAAGGTGTCACACCCCCCGGAAGGATTGCAAGCCTACTCATAAGTTTATGTAGCAGATTTCCCAATTCCTTTACTAATAGTGATTATTCACCTAGCAGGGTTTAGAAAAAGACAGAAGAAATTAGGTAGTGATATGAAAGTTCGTTACCTGTACTGCTGTGTTTCCAGGACAACGATAGACGATAACACGCGTCTTGTCTCTACCCTAGTMATAAATATATTTATCGATAATGCAATACAATAAGGCAATACAATGAGGCAAATTCGTAGTCCTACTAGCTGTTACATAAGAGATGAGGTGGGATGGGCTCGGAAATCATATAAGAACATGCGTAATAGGTAAATTACGAGCCTTATATGAARCGACTGAAGAAGAGGGCCAAATGGGCCTTTCACAACTTCAAGTCGTGTAAAAAATGAGCCACTCAGCTCAACTAGAAACCTTGGACAGCTGTTACATAGACAATACAGTAGCCCTGACTACACCAATTTACTGACAGAATGCATGGAAAGCCGTGCATTTCGGTGAGGCTCAAGCATGTCGTTCTGCGTACACGTTGTCAGAGTACCATATACTTCCCACTGCACGGTTTGCTCGTATCATTCCACTCTCACACTTACCTGTGCACTCATCAGATTTGGATCGACCGAAGAGTCAAAGTAGGCCATTTTTCTGATGTCCTCTGTTCCATGGCCACCTCCCTTCCTGATACACCACCAGAGAAAATGTATTACTACACTAATACTATTGATCATTATGCATTTTACTCACTATCCAATTTCTGATTGGTTTAGTGCCTTCAGCCAATCCCTAATATCAAACTTCATATGATAAATATATTTTCTATAGGTTTTCCTGCAGATAATACATTAATCGTTTTAAGTTCAGTCAGGGTCACAACAGAGATTGAAATACATTTGCTAATGTTTTCGGAGGCAGAATGATTTTTTTTATTCTAAGTTTATAAAATGCATAATAGAACCATAATAAGATGATTATTATCTGAATTCATTTTTCGCATGATTTCGTTGCTCTGGTCAGTCGCCATAAAAGAAACGACTTTAAATGACGTCAGACGCAGAGAAATTKGAATAACTTAAAATAAAAAAGTTGAATAATACGATAATATATACTGATGCACAAGATGCATTTGGGAAAAGATGAAAAATAAAAACAAATGGGAATTGAAATGGAACAATGAATTAAATATAATGAATTCTTACTTGAGGATAAGTTCTACATTATCTGGCAGCTCCTTGGACCAGAGTTCTTCATAGGCATTGAGGAGGTAAGACTGAGGTCCCATGACAGAGCGAACCTAAATCAAGTTAACGTACATCATATATACTGTTWGTTTAATAGGCCTCCTTACCTTGGGTGTTATATTTTTTTCTGTTTCTGACMCTTTATCATGAAATTCCRAGAGTATCATTTCTTTGTTTAACAGTTATACATTAGGAGACAAATGTACATTGCCAGTCTRGTCAGTGGCCAGGAATGAGGACTGGCCAAATTAGTTTTAGCTCAGTCGTGCCTGCTTTATGGTTCAAGATTACTGGTCAAAGTGRCTAGCAAGGCAAAGATTTGACTGGACAAGTTCCAATTTTTGCCACACATTGTCTTTGAACCAATCACAGTGAGTGAGAACACTTTTCATCCAATCAAAATGCTCAAACAAGGTACYGTCACAATTATGGCACAGCACAGCCATACACAATCTACGAGTGCTAAACTCACTTAATTTTGTGTATGAAGTAAAACTTACCTCACCACTTCTTATGTCTCTCACATATAAGCCTTCATTTTCATTTAGAGGTATTGCCTTCCTGTTCAAAATATTAAAAACATATTTCATTAAACACAACTTAGTACTCCAGTTGAGTTCACTGTTGCGCAGGGTTAGCCTCAACTTTGCAAATAATTTCATGTGTTTCAGTTAAGGTCGTGGAATTTCAAATTAATATTGTTCAAGTTGTGCGTTCATTAATAATCAGSCTAAAGACTTTTTGATTTACTTTATTAACTTTTCCCCATGAGGGCAGAGACACCACAACAGCTTTTATGCCAATTACAGTGGGCCCTGTAGAGTTTTAGCACGGGCACTGAAGATGGTCGTCACCAGCGTCTTCAGTGGATCTTTTACGTCTGCCTTATACAGGGTTATATAGTGAAGACAGATGGGGCCTACAGTCCTTGTCTGCGAAGATTTGAAGGTCTAACCATTTGCAGGTGTAATTACAAAGGAGCACCTTCTCCTCAGTTATTTTRAGACCCTGAGACCGTTCAACACAACAGACCGACGCTCTTACCAAATGAGCTAACTGGAAGGCGGCAGTYTTTCTGGGCTTACTGCAGTTTTCGATATTCTGCAAACTTGGTAGTCACAAGCTGCACCTGGAATTTTGTTTTTTTGCTGCTGTCAATCAAAAATAATCACTGGGTACCTCTTATGTTCTTGTCTGGCGGCACTGAAAACCCATTTTACAACAATCTGATGGAAAGTCTGAGTTCGCAGAATGTGGAAAAGTGCAGTAATAAAAATGRGTTTTCTATTAAATATCTGTTGTAATTGTGGAGTATATTTTTTATTACCTTTTAGTAACCACTTTCACTTGAATGGGTGGAATATAAGATACTGGTCCCAGAATCATCCATCGATCACCTGGATGCCTCTCAACCTTTTCTGTAGAAATATTCCATACACACTGTCAACTTATCAATCAATCAATATACAGTTAAAAAATTAAGAGAAGTGAACGTTCACAATAATAATTATTATTATGAATGCATAGCCATTCAAGTGTCAGCTAKGACAAGAAGAATAGCCAGCTTTCAATATTCTGGTTGAGTGATCAAGCACGAAACGATCCTAGTCGAGGCTCTGGGGAAACAAAAGAATATTTTATCAATTATGCTATTATTTTCCACTGAGGAGCATCGACTCAGATTGTTTTGTGCTTGATCACTCAACCAGAATATCAAAAGGTGGCTATTCTAGAACTCTTTGTAATAATAAAAATTTTCAAGGAGTTTTCCATATAGTCCTGGAGACTGAGACTATATTTTATTTGGTTTCTGTCAATAAAATTTCCAGTCATCGGAGCAAGTAAATTTTTTGATTGACAGCACCCTAACATCTTGGGTTGTGGTCRTAAGACATAATAAAAATGGGTGTAAGGCGTGGTGTGCTCTGTTAATGYGCCCCCTCTCACCAATGCGGCCCAAGTTTGAGTCCTGCTGATCTCAATGTCATAGTGAGTAGAGTTGTTTGTTGGTTCTCTCCTTTGCTTCGAGGGTTTTTCTCCGGGTTCTCCAGTTTTCCTCCCTCCTCAAAAATCAACTTCTAAATTCTAATTCGACCCTTGGGCTTTCACTTAGTTTGGAGCATAGCTCTGTTGTGATTGTCCCAYGCTGTGATACAACAGCGAAAGCTTTGTAGATTTAAATGCAATTTGGAGGTTCGAATTCCCCATACACAGGGGAAAAAACCAGATTCCCAAATTGGGAATTGTTGGGAATTTCCTTGAATTCCCAATTTGAACACCAACGTTGGGATTTATTGTTGGGAATTTCCTTCTAATACCCAATAGAAAAATAAAATTCCCAACAAACTAACATTGGGAATCAGTGCCATGTTCCCAATTTCGTTCTCTCTGGGAATTGGATGGGAATTCGTTGGGAATTCAAGGAAATTCCCAAAAAATTCCCAATCTGGGAATCCAGGGTTTTTTTCCTGTGATACAGTCATGTATGTGTAATTTATTCTAAGTAATCCAATRGCATATTTTTGAAGAGAATCCTTACTTGAGAGAGAGTCATCAACAAACTTATCAGTAGCAGATAAGACTAAAGCTTCATCAGCTTCAAGCAGGTGTGCCTTCTGAATTCCACTCTGTAATCTCTCTCCTGCAAAAACAATTGATGAATCATATTTAATACATTAGAAAAATGGGTTGCTTTTAAAGACAATCAGGACAATTAGAGGGAGGGGTTGGTAAAGTTGGTATCACATAAAATTGCRTGGTTTGAGGAAATTTCAAATTTTATACATACTAAGCATGCAAAATTTACACAAYCCCTCTCCCTCTTACTAATAAAATTTTTCTTATTTGTTTTCTCCATACCAGGGTGTAGAAAGAAGCTGGCAACACCTTTCCGCAGTTCTCTTATTCCCAGTTGGTTTCTCCCCTTGCTGTCAATGGGGTCCAGTACAACACAATACTCATCCTTAGATAAAACAGCCATATCAACTTCTTTTACAAGTTCCTAGGATAAAAATGAATCAATATTATGTGCTTGCACAAGATTCTAGGAGGATATTATATGGAAACATGGGAATCAGGAATGTGTAGTTCCAAAAATTATCCATACCCCCCTCACGGAAGAATTTTTTAAAGACACTCCCCTACCCGGCCCCAGAAATTCCAATTTTCTTCCATACAAACTCTGTAGTTTTTGTTCTTTCTCTGACTCCCCCACTCTTTGGAAATTCCAAACTCCTCTGTGGGGTGGGTATGTAGATAATATAGGTAAGTTGTAGTGCTTGGGAACGAGGTTATTCCGGGCGAAAGCCCTTGGAATTAAATTCGGAAAAATTAATTTCCGACCTCGCTGGGATTGGTATGGATTGGTATGGGTGGATATGGATAATTTCTGGAACTACACAATGGTTAGTCTTTCCTATGARGGGRGGGGGGGTGGGCTTTGAGGAGTAAGGGATAGAAGGATCATATGGAGTACAAGAAGATTGCTCAGAACTTTCGTTTTCCTAAGTAACAGCCTCGTTCCAATAACTACAAGTAGATTTATCTTTTTTTTTACCTCAGAYTCAAAACAATTAGACTTATCTATTTTATTTACCTCAGAAACTTCTGGTATATATGATTCCACATCATCTATGGTAACTAGCCATTCATCCCCAGCATACCTAGAAAATTTCAATCATCAATATTCCTAAAATTCACGCATCAAGTACAAGCCACATAAACTGTAAACCAATAATTTATGAATCACGCATGCTATTTTTATGTATCACACACTTATTTTAGCCTGAATCTCATTACTTAGTAGCCCGCACGTGTCACCTGAGAATTCCTGACAAAATGTATAAAAAAGTAGAGAATAGTCTACTAGTGAATTTTCAATAGGAAAAACTACACATCATGTACTAGACTGCGAGCAGTCCCTCTATTTCCGTTGTCTATCTGTCTGTCCGTGTCAATTRGCCAAGGAAGATTGGTTACGAGTCAAAAGTCCCTGGGGGARGGGGCTGGGGAGGGAAGGATGAAAGTCCCCAAAGGGACTTTTGACTCATAACCAATCTTCCTCTGCTAATTGACATGGACAGACAGACGGACAGTGACCAAGGAAAATAGAGGGACTGTTTGCAGCCTAATCACAAACCTTTTYTTTCCCAGTGCATCAATGCAGGTGGTCTTTGCTCTCATGTGTAATGCCACACCTTGTGTTAATGTATGTGCTTTTGCTAAACCTTTAACCTGAAAGATCAAAACATTTGCTCAAATATATACGTAAGGGCCCTCCTAGATAACAGCTTTGCTGATGAGCCTACCCTGGTAAAATATGTATTTATGATGATGATGATGATGATTATGATTATCATCATTATTGTTATTATTAAGTGAACAAACAGTGGAATCCTGTTATCTCAAATCATGGATATCACAAAACTTTCTGTTAACTTGAACTTGAGGCTGACAGTATTATCCTATTATGACTTCATCATCTGATAACTTGACCCTCCYCCCCCAAAAAAATATTTTGAACCTTTTCCTCTCCTCGATCCTGGGGAGGTTTAACCCACCCCAGAAGGTGTGAGATAACAGGGCTGCATTGTACTTAATAAGTCTTTGTACAGTACAGTCAACTCTTGTTAAATAAAGCAAACACCTTCGGGATAGTCACTTGGTGTCTGTAATACCAAGCATCTACGTGCGCAATATGGCAAGGGCTAGTTAATTACAGTCTCATTTCTTTATCAGTATTTTCTTSTTGGAATTTTGTTAATGCCCAGAGAAGCGAGGTGTCTGTAATATTGGGGTGTTTGTAAAATGAGAATAATTATTGGCAGTATATATTAAAGGAATTAATGTATGTCATTCATCACCTCTTCATAGATTCCAGGAAGGTATGCTCCGGGTTCTCTGACCAGCCACTCTTCCCCAGTAACACGTTTCCTAAATTCAATTGAAGTATTAATATTAGTTCAAGATTCATATCTCTCTTATACATGTGACCTGAGAATACATCCACTATTTGGTTGCCTAGGGGGCATTTGAGCAACCCTCGTCTATATTAGCAGTATTTAATATTACATGAGCTCAGATGGTATAGATAATGACTGCATGCTATATTTTTGATTGTTGGCAGTGAAAAATCAAATTCGAATGGGCAACTCACAAGTGCTATGAGATGGCCAGTACTGAAAAGAATGGCATGCATACAGGTCCTGAGGCACCAAATTGTCTTTAAATGCTAAGCCCTGCCCAAAAAAAAAGACTGCCATGTTCTTTGAGTTTTTGGAAAATTATAGAAATAATTTGTATGATTTTCCAGAAACTCATTATTATAAAAATATTAGTTTGCATACTAACTTTCCTTTCTTGTCAACAAGATCTTGCATGGCTGATAGATTTAGTGCCTGTCCAGGATGAATGATGTTGGCATTGATAGTGCTTTGTATTTCCTGCATTAATAATAATAAATAATAAYAATAAACTTTATTAAAGTCTCAAGCTTCTAGCTTATGGCACAAGTGCCAAAATCAGTCCTCCCTGCTCCTTCACAATTTTAATGCCCTATCTGGCCACACATGAAGCAAGCTAAGAGCGAGTCACATTGTGTTACCAATAATCAATAACTTACRGCAAAAGGAGTTGGGTAATAGGTTATTGGTCCATCTAGTTGCCACATGTCTCCTGCTAGTCKGTCTATGTCGCCATCTTTGTGATCRATCRTTGCTTCTAGCCTTATTGCYTGGTTTGGTCCTATGACTGGCAATTTCTTAATCCCTCTTTGGTATGCTAGAAGTGAAGCGCGTTAGGTAAAATTATTAAGTAAATAAATAATTAATGCATTGAAGTCACTGTCAGATTAAATAATGCTTAGGAATCAGAGCTTTCAATAGAAGGCGTCAACCGGCGATTTATCGCCGGATACTTCTGCCTAAACTGCCAGCTCTTTTCAACTTAATAGTACACATAATTAATAAAAAAGGGGTCTAAAATTCCATTCATTGCCCCCTACTATTTTGGAATAACCACTTACTCCAAAAAATATTGAAAGCTCTGGGAATATAGAACTTTTCATTTTGGGACACATTCTCTCCCCTGAAAAAGTTTTTTGCAATATAGCTGAATTACTATCAAACAAAGAATTAATCATTCCCAGTAAAAATAGGATAATTTATTTCCAAGGGGATGATGCATATGGTTTGAATTAGAGAGGGCTTCTTCCAATGACAGCTCGTACAGAATTTTTTTTATTGGGAGATTTAGTGACATGGAAGCGTAGAAAACCAAATGGGGTTGGTCTTTCTCCTCCCTTCTTCTACATGACATTGTACATCTACCAATGTTTTACCTTTTGGATCTCGAACACCAACCATTACTTCGCCAGGATAAAGAGGAAATGGTTCCTAAAAATTATATTTACAACATGAAAAACACAGCATTTGCAGTTTTGGGAAGTTCTTTGCTTGGATGGATTGATAGGTGGGTAGGTATGGGTGGAATGATAGGTGGGTAGGTATGGGTGGATTGATAGGTGGGTAGGTATGGGTGGATTGATAGGTGGGTAGGTATGGGTGGATTGATAGGTGGGTAGGTATGGGTGGGTTGATAGGTGGGTAGATATGGGTAGATTGATAGGTGAGTAGGTATGGCTAGATTGATAGTTTGGTAGGTATGGGTAGATATGGGTYSATTGATAGGTGGGTAGGTATGGGTGGATTGATAGGTGGATAGGTATGGGTGGATTGATAGGTGGGTAAGTATGGTTGGGTTGATAGGTGGGTAGGTATGGGTAGATTGATAGGTGGGTAGGTATGGGTGGATTGATATTGTTTAACTAAATGGGTCATTCTTATCGATTTATCAATATATTTCCCATTTCCTTGGTTTAATATCTAACCTTATGGAACCTAATTTCTCTGTATCCRTGCTGTAAATCACATTGTTGACCAGGCTCGTATGGCTTCCTTTCAAATAAAAATCAATAATAGTCTTACGTCATTAAAAATATAGTCATATAGACATCTGAAATTAAGAACTATGTATGGGTTGGCTGGGGTGGGGGAGGGGGTGGGGTAATATTGAGGGATTAATTATTTTCTTATAAACAAGATAGTGTCTTTTATTTTTGTAAAATACAGACTAAACTATATGGAGCACATTAAAGCAGGTTTTGGCTTCTATACATCAAGTTTGAAATCATCCAAGTCAATAGTTTTCTAGTGACAGAAGGCAAAAACCCAGACGTCGCAAATTTGGGGCTTCAATTCCCCCCAATCAGAGGGTTGCTGTATGCAGGTTATAAAAAGACATGCTCTTTAGAGTTGCCTTACTTGACAGGATTTTCAATGGTGCAATAGTGACCAGGAGGGACTACGATAAAAGGACATGGATCTGACACAAGTACATGGTTATCTTGAAGAATCAAGCTTTTGGGTCCAACCTCCACAACCGTAATATTGGTATTCTGAAAAATGATTTGAAATTTAATGTTATTTATCAATAATATTACCATTAATGTTAGTCACTTTAATTATTAAATTGGGTTTTACAGTTTCATGCATCACTTTGTTGCAAGTACACAAATCCAAATGAGTAAAATAAGGTAGAAGTACAATGTTTTTCGTGTTCTTTGATTGTAAGTTACGCCTTTGGGGGAGCGTTGGTGCCATTAAACTAAAGATTTCTTATTAGTATCCATTGTAAACAGTGCCAAAATGGCCGCCATGTTTTTGTCTTTTAACTCTCTTGAGAATGCTTGCAACCCATCAATAATTATTTCAAAGTATGTGTAAAARCCGGAAAACTGGTGTTATTTATAAATCATTGAAGGCTTTTTTTCTGCTGATAGACCTAACTTCGTCTGGTTATAACCTCTTTCTAACAAAAGAATGAGATCGAATGAGATAAATCAGCCTAGAATCAAGTTGTTAGCAAAAGTTTCTCATGCTGACACACTGCTGACACCCGGTGACAAACATCAGTTTATGCATATAAAAYTTATTGAACCTCTAGTTTTTAAAGTTAGTAAAACTTTARWAGGTGCTATAAAACAGCTGTTTTCRATYYYGTRATATTTGGCACTTGGTGGYGGTACCTAAAAYYTCCATAAMGACGAGCTTTCAATGCAGCTAYAAAGCAGGAAAATAAACTAAAAACGCCCATTAAGCTGAAGCTTAGTTCGATTGACCCATCCATACAAACACTAGCAGCAGATCGCGGTCGCCTTCATAAGCGCTTAAAAGTGTTTATCTCAACACACTAACCAAATCTTGCACATGGATATACTGCAATGGTTGTATGCGAACTATATTGTTCATCTTCTTGGGGGGAATGAGTTTAAAACGTCCGTAAAGTATTTGTTAGCACCAACTTCCTCCTCCAAACCTTGGACTTTAAAAATAATATTATAAGTGCTTGGCATGATGGGATTGATTGCCGAGAGGAGACTGGTAACTACAAATATTCAGCCAAAAATTAAATAATTAGTAAAAAACAATATTTTTTAAAGAGAAAAAAACGTATATCCATTTTATTCATCTTATGGGGTTTTTTTCTTTAGAAAATGTATTTTGTGATTATTTTGAAGTTTAGATAAGATTTCTCAGAAGAGTGCAAGTGTCACGTGTCAGAGAGCGATTCCAAATAAGGTCATCATGCATAATTATATATTTCCCGCGAAATCCAAAAAAAAGTCAGACTGCAAAGCACAGCAAAATGAACTGAACATAAGCCAGGCTTTCTCTTAGACAAACTTCAATTTTAGCCCGCTTTTTGCGACTTTCTACACAGCATACACTGCTTCAATTATAATCCTAACAAAATGGTTGAAAAAGATTGGAAGCAGTCGTCGCTAGCAGTGGATATAAACCAAGTTTTAAGAGATAAAGAAGCACGCCTTCCAAATTTCATGGCTGCTTCACCTCAGCTCAAAGTTCGACGTTTCCTTGTGGACTGGCTCGCGATAATTTGCGAGAAGATTGACTCTTCACACGGAGTGCTTCATTTAGCTGTTTGCTACATGGATTTCTTTATGGATAAGTTTATCATTCAGGAATCTCAGCTTCACCTGCTTGCACTTTCTTGCATGTTGTTGGCAGGTAATTAATTAAATATCATATATTTTTACTCAAATTTACACTTTATTCCTAGCCACCTTATATTAATAAATAATASTGCAAATTAAAAAGGGGATTCTACCTTATGTCTCCAGCGAAGTTTGAAGAAAATGAAGATAAGATTCCAACAATTGCAACCTTGAATAAGTTTGTCAATGATATCTTCAAGCAAGCAGAATACCATCAGATGGAATTATTGTTGCTTAATTTCTTTAAATGGAACATCGACTTACCCACACCTGTGCACTTTATGGAGTATTACCTAGCAAGGGCACTGATGGACCTGGATGGTGAGAATGGAATTGTTCTAGTGGATACATCTAGGATAACCACATACATGAGAAAATATGTCCATTATTTCCTGGAAATCTCACTACAAGGTTTGTATGTTCAAAGTTAGGCTGATAAGTAGTTCTGAAAATATTGTAATAAAGGAATCATAGATGGTGTACAAGTAGTACAATCTACTATCACCTCTCAGACTGGTAGCCATCATTTGCTGACAGTGTTTAAGAAAAGTGGTCCAGTTTTAAAGWAAATGGAAAATACTTTCTTCAATCCTCCTGGGGGAATAAATTGCCTTGTTTTCCTTGCTCCACATAACATAACACAATAAACGAACGATTTAGTCTATTATTCATGCCCTATCTAAGATCTGTCTGATAGACATGATATTAAATTGTTGTGCAAGACATGCTTCTGTCTRGCAAAAAAGAAAATACTAGCTTAGACTGACTTTGAAGTTGCAAAAAGCCACTTCAGTGGAAACAAACTGACAAAACTTTCTTCACTTTCAGACCACATTTTTCTGTCTTTTGCACCTTCACTCATCACCTCGTCTGCAATAGCTGCTTCAAGGATATGTCTAAAACTCTCACCTTCCTGGACAACACATCTGGAAAAAGTTACAAACTATTCCTGGGAGAAAATAGCACCTTGTACAGAAATCATGTTGAAGTATGTTACTACTGTTGAATGAAAATTTTAGTTAGGCATGGCACAATGAATGCTATTTAAGTGAGGGAGAAATTATTTCCTAAGGAAAAAGATGCATTGYCAATTGATGTGTATTAACCATGATTTTAGGCCAAACATCTGTTGTCTAATATTCCCCTTCACAGTTCCCTATGCCATCTTGAAAGGTATCCATCCTGGGGATAGTGGTGACCTTGCAATGATAATGGCATGTGAATAATTGTCCAACTCAAAATGTTAAAATAGGTCTCTATCATTGCAATGTCACTGCCATCCACGCTTCGATGCACAGGCACAATTGCTTTTGAAGATGGCACAGGGAACTGTGAAGAGACTATTGTCCCAACTTGAAATGTTTTGTTTTTAAGATGGCACTCTAYAAGTTTAAACACTTTACCATTACAATTTCAGGGCCCATGAAGCAGACAAGAAGGCTCAACAGAAAAATAARAATGCAAAAGGATGAAAGGGAAATGGTCAAAAAAATTGATGATGAGAGATTTGAAGTTACTTGTTAACCAGGTGTAGAATGCACACTCTCTGGCAGTGTGCAATGGCAGTCTGCGACAACACCCAAAAATTYCACAGTGCAGAGAAAGAAAATATTAATAATTTGTATCAAAAGTCATTCAAAAAATCTACTGAGCAAATGCCTAAAACTAAACCTTGCAAATCCAATTATAGTTCAACTAAGTGTTTAAGTTCAGTATGCAAGAAAGAATGCTTCAGGCACATGACCAAACATGGACATAATTAAAATTTATAACTATACTCTTACTAAGAGATAATAAATTGAAAGTGATCAACATGAAGTGTTTTGTCTTCATATAGGAAATTGCACAATCTTGAGTACAATTCAAAATTTATAGGTATGAGTGATGTTTTGAAAGTTTTCAAAATTGGACGAGCCCTAGGCAAGTTCAATTTGAGAACCTTCAAAACATCACGAGTGTCTATAAATTCAGAATTGTACGAGAAAATTGTGCGATTTTTTGTTTATAATACACTCAACAAAACTGAGCCTACTAGGGACTCTACGGAGTAAAATTTTGGATTTTATTRTACTTCATTTGTCCAATCACAATCRAGTAATTTTGTTGAGTGTATTATAAGTTTAGAATTCAAGTTAATGACGATGAAAGTTGTAGTATCTTCGATTGTCAAACTCTTCTATTTTGCCTTTAAAAATAACATCCATCAAACCTTCATTCATGACAATGATTCATGCAAATGTGATTTCAGATCATGTTGTTCCCCAGAGTATGGCAGGTGGTCTGAAATGGGAAAACATTACTCCCAGGGAGAAGAGATCTATAAGCTTCAAGTAGCTTCATATCCCCATTACTGGGTTTTACTTGATGGCATATGTTGCTTCATGCAGAATGTCTGGCGTTTGATGACCATCATTTGAAAGAGAYAGGATTCAAAGGCTTAGCAGCTGATTGAAACCATGCAGCAATATTAATATCTCAATAAAATTTTTCAAAATATTTACTCCACATACTTTAACCATTTAATCCCATCAATCTCATCTTGCTGTTTTACAACAAACTTCAATATTACAAAATATGAATTTCTTTTTCTTCAAACAAAAAAAGTTACTTGAGTAATACAATAAAATCTAATCATAGCTAATGCCTATTAGTCAATAGAAAATACCATCTGCTAGCTCCCTCAATTCATAGTKGCATCAAAACCACAACTGAATATTTTGGCCAATGACAATACTCCATTTTATAGTTCWGTTCAGTGACCAYGAATAATGGTTCCAAGTCAAGATTGGAGTTTCCGTGCGTAGATAAACCGTACTCTTTATCATGCACGGCAACTCCAAACTTGGCTTGCAACTACTGTATTATTCATGATCACTGAACAGAACTATAAAATGGTGTATCTCCTAACTAGACTTCAGTAATAATCATTTAAATCCAATCAATTTAATTTTTCTCAATCATTCAAAAAATGTATGAAAATATAWAGCCTACTGTGTTTGACGATGGTACTTGAAAAATTACTGCATCAGTAAGTACTTAACTGGCAGTAACAGAGAATTGAAGTTAGGCTATTCCTAGGCTATTCTTTGTAAATATGACTTAAAGCCAGCCTCTTTGTACTCCATTGCTGCCTTGACTGGGTCCTCGGCTTGATAGATTCCCCTACCAACAATGATGATGTCACTTCCCCTCTTACCGACCACTTCATCTGGCGTTAAGTACTGCTGCCCCAGTTTGTCGCCTCCTTCTGTTAGCTTCACTCCTGGTGTCATGTGAATAAGCTCTGGATCATCAACYAAACTATTAAGGCTGATAAACCCTATAACAAAGTCTTGGTGGTTGGTTGCCATGTCAACAGCAGCCTTGGTATAATCCCCTGTGGCAAGATTTCCCTTGGCACTCATTTCAGCTAACAAGAGACACCCTCTACCTTTTGGTCCCCCTATATCTTTTAACCCTGTAATCACCCCTTCACCAGGGACTACATGGGCATTAGTGATATGGGCCCACTCAGAAATGTGGTAGACTCCCTCGCTGTATTGGAGTTTGACCGTGTTGCCAATGTCAGCAAATTTTCTATCCTCAAAGATTAAGAAATTATGCTTTGCTGCAAGCTCGTTAAGTGAAGCTACAAAACCAGGCGTAAAATCTTCAATGATGTCGACATGAGTTTTGACGATGCAGACATGAGGACCAACCTTGTCAATCAAACTCAAGATATCTGCACYCTTGGTTAGATCAATTGACACTGCAAGATTAGTGGCTTTGAAATCCATTATTTGGAACAGCTTTTTTGTGAGTGGGTGTTTAGAGTTCTCTGCTCTTGCTGCATAGCTCATGGTCCTTGCTCTCACTRTCTTGGGCTGGACAGTTTCCGCCTTGAACTGGTTTGCTGTCAAGAACTCCTTCACACKGTCAACAACAGCTGAATTSACCTTGCCCATGCAATGCAGRACTTGTAAGGCCTTTGGGAGYGAAACCAACGCGTACAGATTGATTCCACTAGCTTTTAGTTTGTCTTTACCGCCTTGACAACGGTCGAGGAGTACCACTGCATCGCTGACTTTCAGGCCAACTGCATTTAATGATTCCACTGTCTCCAAGACACTGGAGCCACTAGTCACGACATCTTCCACGACAAGACACCGATTGCCCTCCTCAAAATGGCCTTCGATTATTTTCTTGGTTCCATAAGACTTTGCTTCTTTCCTCCTCATCACCATCGGCGCATTATTACTGACAGCCATGCAGGAAGCGATAGGTAAAGCAGTGTATGGGACGCCACAGAGGACATCGAAACGAAGTCCAGCTTTCTTCACGACGTCCCACATTAAATCACTCACCAACTTTAAAACATCRGGATACGACACGATGACTCGTAGATCAACATACACCGGTGACTCTATGCCACTTTTCAGARTGAATTTACCAAATTTAATGGCATTAATCTCGAATAACCTCTTGATCAAAATTTCTTCACCGTCCGCCATTTTGCCACGTGCTGCGCCTACAGTCTACCACAGGTAGCCCAAACACTTTCGAAACTACCAAAGGAAACCCAAACACATATTTTTCATCAAAATTACTTAGATTGACTAAAATTTTTCAGTTCTTTTTCTCTGCTAAAAAGCCTTATTTCCAGCTCGARGATGTGCCGATTTCAATGTGGCGGGAAAAATCACATAATTTAGACAAACGAGTCGTCTATATATAGGCGTTCACTGGGTTGCCTGCATCATGCAGAGGCCTAGTGCAGCTAAAGAAGTTTGGAAGTTTGCAATAATGGAATGTTTCASAGGAAAAAAAACGACTTTGTTTGACTCATCTAACATTATCTTCTCCCTTAAGGTGTTCTCCACGTAGTATTGAAATACTCTGCGCTTTTTTAGGGTATAAAATAAATAGTGGTTCGTTAAGCRCGTTACACTACTTGTCAGCTCAACCCCCAACCCTATTTTCCCTGCAGGAATTGCAAACGACCAACCCAAAGATATTTAGAATTCAATCTAAGGTCTAGGGCAAACGTCGAACTTTCCATGCACCGAACTCATTAAAAACAATGGATATCAGTTGATAATGAGGCAGCATTCTTTGATGTAATTAAGTTAAATTATTAGTATACATTAAGATTGTCCATGACCATTCAAAAGGTGAAAATTTAAAAACATAATTTTTGTGAATCAAGCTCCAGTCACTGGCTTTGGCCCAGTCACTTGCAAGCCATTTCAGTCAAAACCAATCTATCCAAGTAACATCCAATTTATCTCAATACAGGAAAACAGGGGTGCGCAACACAAAATGAAACTGGGCGGTCACAGGCAACCCAGTAATAAATTAGGTATTTTATTCCTTTATTACAGTCACATATTTTACAAAAATACAAATATTGGTTGTCCTTTCAAAAATATATGCACAGCAGTTTGATTTTTTTCCAGCTTTGTTTTTTTTGTTTTTGTTTTTTTTGGGGGGAAAATCGTACTTGTACAATACATCTATTTTCGCCCCACCCAAGATTCAAAAATAGAATTCATTTTCTGTCTCTCTGCAGCAGAGCCAACATTGACCGTGGGGATAATCTTCTGTGGTCTAATGAACTTGACGAACCTCTCCAGCTCATCATAGCTACTGTGTTCACTATATGGAACTCCTAAAAATAACAATAACATTATTACTCACTGTAGTTTTGAGCATAGCATTCGAGAATGGTTATTAGTTATGGAAAGGAAATGTGCAAGTAAACTACAATTATGATTCCTATCATCTCAAACCCCAGATATCTTAAACTTCCTGCACTTGCATAGGGAGGAGGGGCATGTGCCCCTGCCCCTCCCCCCTAAAACATTGGCTTTCAGCACCAAAATTTAATTATCCCTGTGGATTCCTGGGGAAACATCGATGATCAAGACATCTCTACAACCCTGACCTCCTGGTATCTCAAACTTAAAGCCACATCCCRTGGACTTGCTCAAACCCCCTGTTATTTCAAATTATTATTGATTTCCCTGGGCAGCAAGGGTTTGAGACTACACTGCACTTAAGACCATTACTTTCTCCTTCCCATAGGATCAAAATACTTTCCCCTAAGAGGGGAAGGGAAGGGGAGAATTGGTCATATACAAGTGATAATSAAAAAGTCACATTACCATAGATAGTGACAGGTCCTCGTTTAGATGGCTTAATCTTATCAAGTGATTTGGATTGATGCTCCCATCCAGTTGGTTTGAATGCCAATACCTCRGTGAAAAGATCTTTGAATTTGTCCAAATATAATCCAAGTTTCTGATCAAGAAAACAATTATTAGTATCAATTAGCCTAGATGTGGGTGAAGATGGGCTGGTGGGACTCTAGACCCTTATTCTTCTTCAAATGTTTGTAATTGGCAATACCCAGCATGTTGAGTCATGTCAAATTAAAATAATCACCAAGACATATCAAGACTGATCCTGTGCCCCTTCCCTGACAAACCGCTACTGCATACTCCCTTAAAAGAAGAGCTAGCAAAATGGGAAGGGGAGGAGGAGGGGGGTCAAAAAGAGGTAGTAGTGATTACCCCTCCAGTATGTAGCTATTTAAGGCTACTTCTGACCTTGCTTGCATTTAACTCTATCCCACCTAGAGCTCAGATTTTTTTTGAGAAAAATCAACTTACATCTCAACTTTTGATGATCTCTTAGCCTTTAACCAACCAATATTTGAATTAAACAGTAATGCTGTACCTTATGGTTAAGGTCTCCCATGGGAAGTACATGGATACGTCCAGCCTTCCAATCTAAACTTATGACTGAAGTTATCCTGTCCGACCCAAGACAGTCAAGGACTTTCTTCTTTTCCCTGGTCACACTAACGTTACAGTTGAGTGCATCAGCAATGGCTGGGTAAGCAAATAGAATACTGCTCAATATTTGAAAAAAGGTTGGAGAACATATGGTTAATAATGCAGGGCCRTAGCCACAATGAGGCAAATGAGGCAGTTACCTCAATAAATTTTCACAAATGCACCTCAATACTCTATAAAATCGTATTTCCTGACTTAGATTAGTCCAGATGTTGTTTCAGGGTATTGATAAAGTTTGAAGCCCGGGAATCTGTGAAGGGGAATGGATTTGACCRTGACAGTTGCTTACCAAGAAAAACCTTTTCTTTGCCAATAGTATATGTTCCACACACAATAAGTGTCCTGGGATTCTTCTCTGTTGCTTCAATAGCTTTTTTGACAGCAAAGGTCACAGTTTTGTCTTGTGAGGGAAAGCTGTAATGTGGATTACAGTACCTAAAAAAGAATCCAAATTAATATTGAAGATTAAAAATTGGCTTTTTTAAATTTTCGAATAGCAGGGGCAGGTTCAGGGGTGGTAAAAAAAGGGGTGACTAGTCTCCCCCCTTTTGCTCAACTTTCTCAGTATATCGTAATAGTAACAGTCACCCCCCTTTTTCTCAAATTACTGGTAAAACCTTTGTAATAGTCACCCCCCTTCTAAAATTCCTGGATCCACCCTTTAATAGTTTGATACAAGAAAGAAAGATAATTTTGACAGGTATCATGAGTGAAAATAACTAACGTGGTGTCAAGGTAGAGAATATCTATTTGCTTGTTCTTCAGCACCACATATTCCTCCATGCTTGGTGATGCTCTAAAATCTCCTGTTACAACACACAACAAAAAAAAAGTATYTTTACTCATTTATACACATTATAATTTTGCAAAACACTCACGAATAAATGACAATGATTCTGTCACTTCTTTGTTTGCATATCTTTATCATCCATTCATCTCTCTATTCATTCTATGACATCTATCTACCTAACACCATCTAGATATCCAATCTTTTTCATTTTATTTCATCCCATCCCATTTCAATCCAGAATCCTGTACATTTTTTCAGTCTCAAATGCATTATTAATTTCTGTACCTGTGTGTAAATGTGTTTCTCCATTTGGTAATTCAAACAAAAACAGGACAGCACCTGGGCAGCTTTAAATCAACATAAGATATATAAGTAGCGATAAGTTTTAATTTGAGTCTGAAACTAATCTTTTGTATAAAGATTATTGGGTGGCAATGTTACTAATTGATCTCGCACAGTAACATGACATGATTTCCTTACTGGTTTGCTTCCAGTAGAGTGACCTGCACCTTGTCCACTATTGATGCTGTRTTCATGGGAAGAGCTATTACAAATCTTTTATCCACTCTTATCTTGGACTGGACCAGGTTGGCAGTTATCTAAGACATAAACACAATCAAATTGTAGTAGATTTTTGCCAAAGCAATGCCTCACAAAAGTATATATTCTAGTCTAGGTCAGTGTGT